CATTATTGAGGAATCTGGAGGGAGGGATGGTCGTTATTGGGGGTCTGGAGGGAGGGGGTGCTCGTTATTGGGGGTTTGGAGGGAGGAGGTGCTCGTTATTGAGGGATCTGGAGGGGGCTTGCTCATTATTGGGGGTCTGGAGGGAAGATTTCTCATTATTGGAGGTCTAGAAGGAGGGCTGCTCGTTATTGGGGGTCTAAGGGAAGGGGTTCTTGGTTTTTTGGGGGGGTTAGGGGCAGGAGGTCCTCTTTGCTGGCACGTGGCAGCAGTGTGGTGGCTCTCTCTGGATGGTGACATGAGGCGAGAGGCCATCTAGTCCTTGAGGACTAGATGTTCACCAGTGCCCCAGGAGAGCAGCATCTGGACTGGTCTTCTCCATCCACCTCTCCCTGGCAAGGAGGGAGAGATACTTTACAAAGAGTATCCTCTCCCAGTTCTCCTACTGGGAGAAAGTGGTTGGTGCTGGGGTTGCTCTTCAGCAGCCCCTTTTCTCCGAGTCCTTTTGCCATCTGTGTTTGAAGGGAGGGTCTAACACCTCGTGAGGTGGCACCTCAACGTTGGTGAAAGCGTGGCTGGGGGGGAGAGAGGTATATTTAAATGTTATTTCTCAGCAGCAGGAGCTTAGGTGAACCTGTACAGCAGGAGGGCTCTGCCAAGTGACTTAAACCCCTGCTTCAGATGATGGAAAATCTGGGATAGCCAGCAAAAAATCTTTTAAGCAGGAGTGAGAACCTGTTTTGGAAACGGTGAGAGAAGATTGACCAGTGTCTGAGCTGTGTGGATGGCAACTCAAAAGGACTCGCTGGACAAGAACAAACCTTTGCAAAAGCTTTATTCTTTAGGGATGAGTCAGAGGGAGAAAATGGGTTGTGAATGGGATGGCTTTGAAGGGAATTTAGTAATTTCATCTCCAAAAGTGTGAGGAAGCAGGTACCTTGTTATGGTAAAAGGGGAACAAGATGATCTTGGGGCAGGGTTACGGCTGGATTGTGGGGAGGGAAGTTCTAGCTGCAGAGAAAAGCAAAGGCAGTCAACAATAGTCACGGGGATTTGGGCTCGGGATGCTGAAAAGAACACTTCAGCAGCCCTGGGCAAAAGTGTAAATTTAAAGCAGAATGGCAGAACCATGGAGATTTTACTAAATCTAGAGAACAGGCGTTTTTTCAGGACTGTAGGACTTTTTTTTTTGTACGTAGCTGATTGTTGGAAGTGCAAAAATTGGAGGTTTGGGTTGGGACAAAGACCAGGGGTTGATGCTCTGGAGGAACACCAGCCTCTGCGAGGTCCAGGTGTGCTCTGCACGATACAAAGTGCTCTGTTTGGAGGATAAAAATATCCTACGATTCCTACAGGAAATCTCCCTTTGCCTTGATGCATGAAATCAGATAACAACAAAAAAAAAAAATTAAAAAAAAGATAGCTACTCTGCTGTGGCCGAAATAAACTGTTTAGATATTTATGGATGGGAGAGGACTGTTTCCCCTCTACTTTAAAGCACAGTTTTAAAACATTTATTTCCCCTTTTATTATTTATATTTGGATAGATGTAGTTAGTATATGAACTAATACTGACAAATCATTTTAATATTGATTATTTTAAGGCTGTGCTTCGTGGAAGTGATTAATAGCATGGCTTTGAGGCTAAGCAAAAAAAGTATTTAAGGATTAATTTGTACTGTTAGTACAGAATTAGGCATGGAAATTAGAAAGAAGCCTCTTTAGGTGAATATCAGAGGGGGTTGCTCTCCTGTGTCTCCTGGGTATCTGAAATTGGGAGCTCTTTCCTGAGGTTGGGTTGAACCTGGGGTTGTGAGCAAGTCACTAAACCACTAGTTCACCTGTTTGTGTTGTGGGGAGTGTTGTATTTCACAGGAGCCTGCTGAAGGTTACATGGTACATATAAGGCTAGATTTAATGTTAAATATATTATTTAATTATGCTGGCTCAGTTCAGAGCCAAACAAACCCTTATGCTTTACAAAACCTCCCAAACACAATTTTTTTCTGCTTTAGGTGAAGAAATAAAGTTCTTATTTCTCCACCTAAAAGAAATAAGGTTTTTATTTCTTCCTCTTGTTTTGTCCTGCTAAGAATCTCATCCCTTGTGGTTATTGTGTGTAATTTTTGAATGTACTTTATACTGGTTTCATGCACTGTAAACTTTGTCAGCACCCCATCTAATTCTGCATGCACCGACGGCGCTGTAGACAAACACCGTGACACGTTGCTTGTTCAGTTGAGTATTCCTACTTTAATAATAAATATAAAAACTTCCAACATTGACGCTGAGATGGCCTTAAACGGGATGAAAATCAGTTTGTAGTTTGTCTTGCTGCTGCTGTCAACTTCTGTCAGATATTTCTTGAAGGTGGGTGTCTGAAAATCAGTTTGTAGTTTGTCTTGCTGCTACTGTCAACTTCTGTCAGGTATTTCCTGAAGGCGGGTGTCTCCGTGTTAAATAAAAACTCCAAAATTAATTTCCTGCAAAATAAGGTGATCTTTGCTCTGCTGTGAGACCTCAGAGTGGGTAAAGCTAAAGGAGCTCATTTGTTTTTCATGTGCCTCTAATTGGCTAGATTCTTGCAAAATGATGCCGTGCTGCGGGATGTGTTTTCCATCCTCATGATAATTTTTATTAGCAAAACAGACAAAAAGTAAGGGCTATTAAGTTACTGACTTAATGAGGTGCTGACAAAACCCCCATGATATTTCTTGCTTCGCTTACTCATCGCAGGTAAACAAACAAATTGCAATTGAGCATTTCCAGGGGTTTTTAAATGGATTTGATGATGGACGCCTGTGGGGTATTTGTGCAGTTTGGTAATATTTATGTTCGTGCAGTGCTCGTTAGTAGCAATCCTATATAGTCATTTACATAATGCTTCCTGTCTTGACGATCTTCAGAGGGTTTATGAACATTCCCTGTTAGGGAAATGATTACGAAGGGAAGTTTGTTTTCTATTGTTCTATAGTGCTATAAAACTTCTTTATTTTTTTCCCTTTTCGAATACTTTCTGAAAGCACTGATGTGAAACGTGGTGTTGGGGTTAAGGATCAAGAATTCCCCCTTAAAGCAGCAGGGAATAGTTCATAAAGGTGTTGTAGGTGTATTTTTAGTTTATTGCTCTGCCATCAAGTAAATCCCTTTACGGGTGATGATTCCTTTACAGACCTGATGAGTCTGTAGACTCAATATTTGATTCCTTCATCATTTTCTTCTTCCCCCAAGATCTCTGCTTTCTCATTGTTTTAAGGTGTATTTTTATTTTTGGTCAGTGGTGCCCAAAACTGGACGTGGAGCTTCAACACTTTCACACACCTGTAAACTGGCAAGAATATTTCATTTACATTTGTAGCTGATAACTTCATTCATACGTGTCAGCAGAACTGGATTTTTTTAGATTTAGCTGAGTTTAGCCTTAGCAGGATGCAGTTCAATACAAACAAGTTCAAGATTCCATAGTCAGGTCACCTAAAGAGAATGTGATTAATTATGCAGAGAAAAATGAGTGTGTGACTTAAGTGGCTGGTAAACATACAGGGCTATACTGAAATAGGCCTTTAAAATTCAAACTTTTCCAGGGAACAGAAATAAACTTAGGAAAACACTTGTTAAGCATCTCATGTTTGTAAAGCTATTTTATTTCTGCGCTTTGAATTTCCTGAATTGGAAGCAGGGCCACGAAAATGAGTTTAAACTTAATATCCCCCAGTGCTGACAAGCTGATTTTTCCATGGCTCGATGCTTTGCTTCGTCTGCAGCGATCCTCTGAGTAGGATGTTGAGCATTCCTTTTTATTCTTTCTTTATCAAGCAGGCAGGGCCCTGTTACTGTGACTGGATGTTGTGGTTGAAAGCAGAGCGTAAGAAAAACAGAGGGTGGAGCAAGTGATATTACTGTAGGAAAATAGAAGAATAATTTACTGCAGGGCTGAGATTTCTCAGGCTTCAGTCAGCCTTGGCCGGAAAGGCAAGTTATGGGGTGGGATGCTCTCTTCAAAACATCATTTTCAAGCTTATTCTGAGATGATTTGTTTGGCAAAAAAGCTTTTGGCATTTATACCGAGGACTTCTTAACCAAAAATAAAGTCTTACATCTTTTTGGTAATAGCTGTTAAAAGGTTAATCCATTTTTCATTAGTTTGTAATGAAATGTCACCTACT